ATAGTTTCAATTCCTTGCACGCGCTTGCGCACACAGTGGAAGAAAAGAGAGAAAGAAGAAGCTTGATGCTGGCCAATGTTAACAGAAAGAAATATATCGCCCGGTATCACTGTTCGGCGCTGTTCACTTTTATCTAGTTGCTGCTACACATTTTTCGCCTGTTTTATACGGATATTTATATTCTTGGGTCTTCATTCTCATCGACGCATGATTAGTTGCTCGCTTGTTTGCTCATTTCCAATCTCTGCACTGCCAGCCAGCCTGCCTGTTGATTTGTTGCGAACGGCGAATCTGAAGAATAGGCATTCGTAAATGGAGATGTCAGTTTTGGAAATCACTGCTCTTTTCGATTATTATAGCCACAAAACAAAAATCACAACACATACTGGCGTGCAACAAACACCATAATTAGTGAATAACTCACACATCAACAATGAATATTCTCGGTGCCTTCTCTTTCTCTCGTTCATCCCATTGAAGATCCATCTTCATTCGTTATAAAAATATTTCTTTATATATTTTTTTTTTCGTGTGTATTTTGCTTTGTGCAGTGGAATAGATGCCGCTTTTTCTTCTCGACATCCAACTTCTCGTCTCCGGCCGTCATCCTTTTGTCTGCACTTCGTCGAAACTTTCATCTAAACAGTATCATTTATTTTTCGTTTTTTCGCAATTGCTTTCGGACAAAGAAACAATCGACGTGTCCACAATGCAGAGCATTGCGCAGTTGAATAGAGCCACATTGCGTTTGCTGCATGCGGCGAGCGAGGGGGAGAGAGCGAGAGGAACGGAGAGAAAAAAGTTGATCGATCTCTGTACGAAATCAAGTACAATGGACTGAAAGGATCAAATACAAACCCATCACTGTTTTTTGGCGCACTTATTCTTACCTCTTCGCCATTCGATTTCCGACGAAAATCGATGTGAAGTTCTTCTTCTCCGTACACACATTTCATATCTTCATTGATGTATTTAACAATCTGTTGTTTCACTTTGTTCACCTCTCGTTGCTTGTTGTTTGTCTGTTGTTTCTGTTGTTCATCAGTATTTTTTGTTTCGCGCTGCAGCGACATTACACAGTCGATTTTCCGATGACAAAAGAGCAACACGAGAGCAAAAGAGTGAGAGAAAGAAAAAAATATGACAAAAAATCAATGCATCTATGGGTGGAATTGAAGAAAAACTGAAACAAGCAACATGGCTACAAAAGGCGAATCGAATGCATTTCATTTGTTTTGGTGCGCACAATCACTCATTCTCTCATTGCGCTTTGCCTAGTTTCTTCCTCTATCGCTGGAAATGCATTTTAACTGATAGGTGTCGAATCATAAATTATCGACAACATTTTCGACTTTACTACCAACTATTTCGCAAATGGAGAGACAAAGCGATAAGAGAGAAACAAGAGAAACAACAACAACAACAATAACAAAACACACCGAGAACCAATCTATGCAGAGAATTCAAAGAAAACGACCGGTGAACAACTAAATTGACGACGGCACAACAAATACCAGAGCCCTGCGTCGACAGTGGGATATCCTTATTAGCCAAATCGATCGAATTATCATGTTTTACATTTGCTATTTTTTTTTCGTTGTTATTGTTGTTGTTGTTTAGTCTTTGTATTCACTTTGAAAACTGTTGCTTCAAGCCGAAGACTGTTGTTGTTTCCACTTGGAAGCTACACATTCAAACAGAATCGTGTATTCATTCTAAATTAAATGCCAAAGGTAATAAATAGGCTAAATAGTTTTAGAATTTTTTTTCACTTGAATTGGATTACTTTCTATACCTAAATAACTCTAACTCCTCTAAATATTGAGAATTGATGGACAGTGGAACAATTCAAAGCTTATAACAAACGAATAACTTTTCTACAAGTTTATATCAGATAATAATCAATAAAATTGTCTTGACTGATCTTTGGTTGCAATATAAATTCCACATTTCTATGTCGATAACACTTGGGTGCGTTTCCGTTTGTTACCTCATTTCCTTTCTGTTGATTTGTATGCATCGTTTCACTTCCTGAATATTAATTGTGCGAAGAGACACAAATGGTGTGTATACCGAATGATCCGTTGAAATCAAATGGCAACAGGGTTATGGTTTTATTGTTAGGTAGCCTCTAGAGGCCGGTTATGAATAGAAATGTCCTTTTGTTCCGTATATATTGAGCCCATTAGGATCATCGAGAATAACAATTTGATGTTAAAAATGGGCCCAGTTCGAAAGCTACATTGATCAGTTAACAAAAAGTGCATTTCTATTCACATCGGATTTATGGAGGTAAGAATGAGAATAATTTCACAACAAAATGGTGAAAAAAATCATATCATCAATAGATGTTTCGTTTATTTTACCTTTGCAATCTTCTGATAAGAAAGTATTATTTGTTCACGATGCTTTTTTTTTCTACATCTAACATCATACTATCAAGGATAGCTTCAATTGAAGTAAACCCAAAGGCTCATTTGCTTTTGAAAAATCATCGATACGCCTAAATGTATGCAATTGTTGAAATTTCGATTTCAAACTTAGTTTGCATCAGTTAAAGCCTACCGGCCGTTGTGTGAAACAGAGTTCAAAGTGATGATGCTTCGTTTGAAAGCTCGTTCACTTTCTTAGTGGTGAAAGATGTATTAGATTGACAAATTCAGCGGTTTGTTTATGATGCTGAATAGAAATGTGTTGGAAGGTTTTTTCATCGTTGTCATTTTTTTTCTTCAAGAAATTCTGTGCTCATTATCGCCCCGGTTTGCGTGTTATGTTTGTACTTATTTGTTTGTATTCGACACATCGAAATTGGAATTAATCGAAATGTCAACACATAAAATGGGTCATTAAAAGAAAGAGCGTCGACCACAAAATCCAGAGTCCTTAATTTAATACAAGAATCTTCATTAAACATTCAATATAAATATTGTCGCGTTCTATTTTTAATAAAATCGCTTTTACTGATGCATATGACTGTGAATTTCGGTTTGATATTGCCATTGAACGAAAATGATACGGAATTATCTTAAACGGTTTTTTTTTTGTCTTATTCGCTACCAGCTGTGTGGGGCGCAAATAAAAAGAGACATCCAGAAATAATGATAATGTCCCACGGTTCATTGTTCCATATCACAAAAAGTACGATTTGAGCGGCGTCAATGTTCATACTATGAATATATTTCAGTCATTTTCATTGACAGCATGGATCAATCACATCCGATTATCAAAAACAATCAAAATATCACTGATTACAATTCGAATAATGCACGTAACACACAGCACACTCGTTTCACAATAGTTGCAACTATTACCAAATTGTTTACATAGTTAAATTTCAACACTCAAATTATGTTGAAAAAAAGAGGAACTAAGGCTGTTCTTTTTTCTGAATGAAATCATTTAAAAGAAGAAAAAAAAACCATGATATGTTACCGAAACACATGAAAAAATAATCATCAATTGTTTGGTATTATCGTTGGCTAGTCAATGCTAATGTTAGCTAGGACTATCTCACATTTCTAATGGCTTGTCATTCGTTTTTGTTGAAAATGATGTTTGTTTTTTTTTTTTTTTTTGCATTTATTGCCAAAGAAATTCCATGTTTCCAGCAGCACCAAACAAACGATGTAATCGTCAAATTTAATTTTCGGATTGATTTGCCTGGGAGAAATCATTTTCATTGATGCATTCGCCAGTCTAGCTATCATCATGTTGCATTCAGTTAGAAACAGGCTATAATCTCTTCACGTCCCAACATTTGCAAACGAATTCATTTTTTTCTGCTGTGCCAAGGTCCGAAAAGTTTACTAATCAACTTGATTGAATCATAAAATGCATCATCGATGAACTCTTCGGTTGATTTCGATTAAACAATCAGTAGAATTACATTTTATGCAAAGTCATATTCAAATCAAAGCTCTCCGTATCATCCATCTATCAATGCATGGTCATGACAATTTTATACAAAATCTAACTAATCATTTTCGATTCGCTTCTAGAAACTAGTCTACAAACGCCTTTTAAACGAACGTTTACGAGAAAAAAAAAATTTCCGTCATGAGAAACTGAAAAAAGTATTGTGGCAAAAGTGACACTTTGAAAATGTTCTTATCACAATTCGAAAGATTTTGTATACTGTCAACTTAGGTTGACTTGCTAAATAATTCTATAATCAGCGATTGTTGTTGTTTGTTTGTTTCTTTTCTCTCTCTCTGTTACATCTCACCCCGAAGCTCGTAAATTGAACGACGAATGAAATAAGAAAATATCGAGAAAAAAAAATGTGAAACACTCTGTCTGCTATAGCGAACACTAATAGTAGTGGAACATTTCACAATTTTGATACACTGAACAGATGGACTATTGTGCAATCCGGTCAGCGAGTCAAATTGAGTCAAAAGGTGCCTTTTTACATCCATATGCTGCGTTCGAATCGATTGCACATCCAACAATCAGTGATTGCAATCAATCAATTGGTAATAAATGCTTGAAATTTCATTTGACTACAACAAAGAGTATTTCAATTTTCGTTCAACTCTGATTTGAAAGTATGTAATTGTTGAATTTTCAGCAAAATTTCGACATAGACGAAATTGGTCTTCAAATATTTCTCTCTAGCATTGAAACCAGTGCGTGTTATGACAGTCCCAAAACAGGATTGAACATGATATAAACAAAGAGAATCTCATCCAAAAGGAGATTTTCGGTCGATGATGTTTTTTATACTACATATGTTGTCTAAAAAATGTTCTATGTTTGTTATTCGATATCGTTCGTTTTTCTGTGTGAACATCTAGGCAATGAAAAATAGGCAACAAAACATCGAACATGTACACACAGAAATCGGTGGTAACAAACATTTAAACAGAGAGAGAAAGCGATCTGACGCACACAAAAGCATACAAATATCATCTGCGATCCGTGTCCAATGTCCATACAAGCAAGCAAATAAGCAAGTGAGATTCGAAGTGCATATATAGCCAAAATTGACGCAAGCATTCATTCCAAACATTGAACATTTCGAGCAGTGTCTACACTGTACACAAACTAAGGCGAACTATTGATACAGTTGAAGAAGCCTTCGCCAGTCTGTGACACAAAATAGCTAAGCCATCTCTACTTCACTACATAAACGTTTTTTTCTTCTTCTCTCTCTCTCTCTCTCTCTCTCTCTCTCTCTTTCTCTTCCTTGATATTGTTGGCGTTGTTATTCGAGATTAAAGATCGTAACGCACACTAGATAGGCGAGTGAATGCAGAGAAAAACGTAAACAACAACAAAACAAATGCATACATAGACACAGGCGAGAGGCGATAGATAGAAGTGGCTTTATAAAAAGGATCCATGGTGAATTTTTCACCATTTCAGTTTTGATTTTCTGAGCGAACACAAACGATCGAAAAAAATTGAATGAAAGTGAGTCAAAGCATATTGTACTATTTTTTTTTTCCTTCAAATATCGTCCTCTCTCAGTGAATTATCTATATAAATAAAATATTTTTTTTATTCGATTGATACCCTTGTGGCTCTCAATCTGGTGGTGGGAAATTTAATGAAAATTGGTCCAAACAGTTGAATTATTTGATCGATCACACAAGATCAATAAAGAAAATTGTTGGACGAATTATTAAACGAAAAAAAAAAAACAATTGTGATCGGTTAATTTCCAGTGAATTTAGATTTGGTCGTTTTGAAATTACACTATCTTCATATTTTTTTTTAAATTTCTGTTGTAGTTTTTGATTTTGAAAAATTCTGTTGTAGTTTTTGAACTGAGTTAATTTTTACTTCACTTAAATTCAATCGTTTTTCTTTTAATTTTCTCATATTCGTGCAAATGAATTGATTGTTCGATATTTTTTTTTTCTTTTTAGGCTGAATAAAAAAGACATTGTAGGCACAATGCTAAAATTTACATTATTTTTAATTAGTGTAGTTTTACTCGACTGCATTGTTGCGGCTCCTGTAAGCAAAGGTAAGTGTTACTAATTCAAATTTCAAAGAAAAACCCATAAACATGATAAATTGTGAATTAGTTTGATCGTTTGAAGGATTTGTAGTTAGGTTTCATACATGCTCTTTATGACATATTAAGTCAGTCAATTCTTTTTCTTTCATGCTAATGCATGCAACAATATACCGTAATTGTGTTTTGAAAGCCATAAAACGCTCCAGAATAATTTCTGATAATTGGTTGGTATCGTTTCAATTGTTGTTTGAATGTTGTTCGGTTTGTGTTATGATTTGACGAAAAATTCATGCACAGATTTTATGTGCCATATGCTTGGTTTTCTTTCATCGTACCGTATGTTTGAGTATGCCGTTCGTTTGGTGTTGTATGGTTTTCGGCATGATTTCAATTTGGAATAATAGTGACCAATTGAATACAATAAAGTATCCGGTAATGGGCGCGGGGCCGATTTTAATTCTGTGGCCTGTATGCAGGTCTCATCACATACGCATGATGCGTATTTTTGTGCATTGTTCGGACTGTCGTTACTTTATAAATTTGTACTAATTCAAATGCTTTCACATTCACAGCGCGACAATTTTTATACCTAAATATTTTCAATTGGCCTATTGTATATGGTTCGCATAATTCAACATAGTCCAAAATATGTTGAACATACAGAAATAGCACCCAAAACGCATAGTCTAATTCCGTTTCTCACATCTCACCATACGATATCACAGAGATCTGAATCACCTCCAGCAGAGAATGTGTCGTAACACGATCATTTCGAGATCATTCGACGGAAAACGAAAAGAAAACGAAAACAACAACCGAATCATCTCGAAACGTATAGTTTGTTCTGTTCGACGCTGACACTGATGGAATTACTTTTGATTATCCATCGCAGTAGAATTTTATTTTTATTTTTATTTTTTCATTTCTGTTTGAGACGACTGAATTGAGACATTTCAAGTGATGTTCATCGTTTCCATTATTTTCATTTTGCGCCGATTGATAATTCAATTTTAAAAGCATCTCATTCGTTTATGCTGGTACCAAAAGCCCATGAACTTGAGTTTCGTTATTTGTTTTTTTTTTTCTTATCGTCAACTAAGTTGATTTGAGAAGAATTTCAATCATCAGTCGCTGCTTTTTCTTCTCTCGCACTGGAGTATTGTTAGTGTGCAAATACGAAAGCGTTCACACAAAGGAAGCTGCACACTGATAGACAAAGTGCGTTGATATTTCATTGACCTCTAGTTTTTGGGATTTCATCCAAAAATGAAATGAGTTTCGACGTTTTTTTTCTTGTTTTCAACTTTATTAATTGAGTCATGTGTTTTCTTCCTCGCGTCTAATTCATTGATAACACGACGCTTTTTTTCCATTACAACAAATGCTCCAACACACTTTTGCTCAGCCACGGCATTAAAAAAAAAATTCACCAAACGTTGCCAATTCCACATCATTTCCTTGTGTTTTGCAAAATACGAAACTCGCAGTCGAATCAAAAATTGATTAAATTTGCTGGAAAGCTAATGACGAAGAAAAAGAAAAAACGAAGAAATAACAATCAACAACACCAATCGCAAATAGTGAAATGCAAATAAACAAAGTGTTTCAGAAGGGAATTATTTTTCCCGCTGTTATCGGTGTGAATTGTGCGAAATGGGCATTTGAACCAATGTAAATTGCTGAGGCTGTAAACTTGCCCCTTCGTGTGCTTACACAAGCTTCCTCTTGATCTCGATTGCGACGATTTTTTCTTTCCACATTCACACGAGCCACGATAATGCAATGGACAAATGCAAGATAATCAAAGCACACTTTCGTTGATTAGACGACTCTCTTCGTAATTTTTTTACTCGTTACGCGTGCATCAAATCAGACAAAATCTATGGTAAACAGCAAACGGAAATGTGACAGTACAAACAATTTTGTGAAATACACAAAGTTTGTTTCGATTGTATGCCGGTAGTTCAATCAACTTTGCAGCATTCACGATGCGAGATAAGGCACACCAATTTGTTGATACGATTCTCGTATACAAATAGATGTGTGAAAATATGAACCACATTTTTTTTTTATCAACATTTAAAACAAACGGTCAAAATCAATGTTTGCTTGGAGATTAATAAGAAAAAACTGTCCCAAAAATTTTACTATTTCCATACAAATTTGAGAATTTCTTGAGAATTTGGCAAAGTTCATCAAACCCAAATTGCTCTAAATATGAATGTTTTTTCCGTTTGAATCGTATCACTTGTGATATCATTTTTATTGGCTAAAAATGGAAATTTTTTAATGCATGGTAACGGGCATCAACTGGACGATGTCAACCAAAGTTCAAATGGAGATATCGTACATCGACCATAGGCCAAGCCAATGGTGTACTCTCGTTAATACGAGAGAAATATGTAATCTTTGTGAACGCTTTAATTGACTCGTTTGTTGGATGAGTTATCCGCTCATTTTTGCTGCCCCATTGATCGCGAACACAATTCATTGTTACCAAGATTGTACTTTGGAATGAGTACATGAACTATGGTCACTAAATGAACAGAAAAAAAAAACGGATTTTGTTGTTGTTGTTATTCATGATAAACATCTGTTTGTTCAGCACGGTCAACAAATTGTTTACATCTCAATTCAACCGCAATGTTTTCTTTTTTTTTTTTGCTCTCTCCTTCCACGAATAATGTGGCACATTTTTATTTATCGCTGAAGGGACGATTTCGAAGTTCATTTCCGCCAACGATACATTCACGTGCTCATGGTTGCAATTTTTAGCTGCACCATCCGATTTTAATCAACGGCTATTTTAAATTCAATCACACCCAACTAAATTTGTGTTGGAAAAAATACAAAAAAGAAGAAAATATGAAATCTTAGCTAAATGGAAGCTGAATAAGCATTTTGATAAAGACTGCATCTAAAATAACAATGTGATATGATTTCGAAACGGAATCAATTGTTTTTTCTTTTATGTAAGAAAATGAAGAAAAATAGAAACACATTTAACGATTTAATTGCACAAAAGAAAGAGAACAAAATGCACTTTGATTTGACCTGTTATTTTCTTCTTCGTCTTTGGGGAGGAAACATGTGCAATGAAAAGCCATAGCTCAAATCCGATATGCGATGTTGCCACTTTTTCGAAACAATCAATTCACAAACCCTGGGATTACGTTGAGTTTTCACAATAGAAACCGAACCTTTTTTTTTCATTTGTAGTAATTGTTTGACTTTTTTTCGGTGATAAATTTTTCGTTCTAAAATGTGTTCTGACTGTGCTATTTTACTCATGTATGCTGTTTACGAACCAAGGTTTAAGTTTCTCAGAGCGAAAAATGAGGGAAGCAAAAATAACCGTACAGATAAAAAAAACATACATCCAATGCATTCGTTTTGTTGAGAGAAGAAAAAAAAAGATGTCGTAAACAAAAGACAACGTAGGAAAAATACAGCACAAAATTTTTTTTAAATTGATAACTTTTGAGTTGTTTTGTTTTCGGAAAAAAAGAGCCGTATATGGAACCTTTTTTCTGGCATTCTTTTTTTTTCTGTTCAATGTTCTTTGAGAGTTATTTATGTGCGTTTTGAGATTGTGAAAACACATTAAATAACAACACATACACACCAAGAGAGAGAAAAAAAAAACTTTGTCTTCAGTTGTTTTGTTAATCTTTTCTTGTTTTTTTTTCTCATTTCATTTTATAGCAAATGGATGCAGACAAGGATGCCCATCAAGTGAGTACACACCATATGTTTTTTGTTTGTGATTTTCAGAGATATTGCAATCGCTTGTTTATGTTGAGCGAATAAAAGAAAAAAAAAACAACAAGAATATTTTTCCATTTTGATGGGATGCATGCCATTTAATCAGAGACTTAGCATAAGTTCCTTGTTCCAAGTGTAATTAAGAGACTTTCAAATGGTGATTTGTGTTCCATATCGGTTATTGACAAAAGATTTCATACACTCACTCACTCACTCGCTCGCTCTCTATCTCGTTGGTATTATTTTTAAATTCAAAATTATCGTTTTCACTTCAATGTCAACGATTTGAATTATATAATTTTTTCGCTTCCGTTGATATCAATGCAGCAAAGGCATTCGATTGAAGGGCATTCCAGTCGTTTCATTTCCAATGTTCTATGAACACCATTTGAAGAGAGATTAATTTGGAAAAGGAACAATATTGAATGTATGTGTGAATCGGTGCATATAATCGTATATTCAATTGGAATTAACGGAGCATCGCATGATGAATGAGCGTCGCTTGATACTTTAGCAACAACAGAAAAAAAACCACGCATTCATTTTTCGCTTGTTTCTTTCTTTTTTCTTCCTCAAAACCGAAAACTAACAGCAAGCAAAGGGAGTAAACTAAAGTATCAACCAGGCCAAGTATATAGCTATAATTTTGACAGTACTGTATCGATTTCGTTGACTGGCAATGATCCACAAGATATTCAGTTGCAAGTGCAGGGTACGGCTCATGTGCACGGTTATTCAAACTGCCAATACGGTTTGGATTTGAATGACGTAACATTGATTGGACCGGATAAGGGCAAAACTAAATTCAATCCGAAATTACAATTGTCAAATATCGTGCAATTCACATTGTCCGATGACAAATTGGAACCAGAGATTTGCGCCAATCCCGATGATTCCGATGTATCGTTGAACATAAAACGAGCTGTGATTTCATTGTTGCAATTGAACGAAGGAACGACCGAGGAAACGGATGTGTTTGGCAAATGTCAAACAAATTACGTTGTTAACAAGAATGATGATGGATCGTTTGTGGTGACCAAAACTCGTGATTTGAACTCGTGCAGCCATCGCGAGAGTTTCGTTAATGGATTTATCACTGGTGTTTTCAATGAAAACAGCAAGGTGAAATCGACGCCATTGTTGAACGGCGATTACACCAACGAAATTCGTGTCAATAAAGATGGTATCGTTGAATCGGCTCAAGTTGTTGAGGACTACACATTGGTACCATTCTCAAATGGTGAAGCTGGTGTTAGAGCTCGTGTTGTTACGTCGCTACGATTCAAGAACCAAAAACCAAATGGCAATGAAAAGTCATCGGTCTCGGTTCCACGCACATTGATTCACGAAACGGTTAACAAACCACAAGCGGTTAACTACCAAATCGCCAAGAAATCGTTGTTGGGCATTTGTGATACGTACGCTCAACGTAAGAACAGCGTTGGAGCAGAAGTTGCCGGCCAATTCACCGAAACCATTCGCTTGTTACGCTACTTGAAAAAGGACGACATCCTACACTTGTTCAAAGAAGCTTCGCAATTGAAAGACAATCCAGTTTGCCGTAAAGTATTCTTGGACGCCGTTTTCCGTGTGGCCAGCGCCGATTCAATCAATGCCATTGCCTCGTTGTTGGAGAACAACAAAATTCATGAAAAACGTTTGGCTTACCTTTCATTCAATTTGGCTACATCGGTTAACAAAGAAACCATCGGTGTTCTAGTGGTAAGTGTTGAGATTTGTATAATTTTTTTGTTGTTGCATTTTTTTTCTCAATTTTTTTCCAAAAATTGCAACTCTTGCTTTAACTTTTTGCTTGGCTTTAATTTTATGCGTTTGTTTTAAATTCCAAAAATCCCGTAGAAATTGCTCGATAAAGACAATTTGAAAGAAGCATACTTAAGCATTGGAAACTTGATCAAGAAATACACTCAACAAGAAGGTAGCGAAGGTAATGCTGATCTCGTGAAATTGTTCGACAAATTGGCCGATAGATTGGGCAGCTGCAAGAGTGAAAAGCGTCAACAAGAAGATGCGATCGTTGCCATTTTGAAGGGATTGCGTGGTGCCAAGGGCGTCAATGGATCACTTTTAGATAAATTGGTGAAATGCGCAAGTGAAGGCAATGCTGGCCGTGTTCGTGCCGCTGCCATTCAAGCATTCACATCGGCTTCATGTGACAGCAAAATCCAATCGGCTGCTTTGAACCTCTTGAAAAACCGTAAAGATGACTCGGAATTCCGTATTGAAGCCTACTTGGCGCTGCTCGATTGCTCAACACCACAAATTGCCGGCGAAGTTGCAAAATTGTTGGAAGACGAACCCGTTTACCAAGTTGGCTCATTCATCGTTTCGCATTTGTCCAATTTGCGTTCATCAACCGACTTGTACCGTGAAAATGCCCGTAAAAACTTTGCTGATGTGTACGCATCGAAGAAGTTCCCAAGTGACATTCGAAAATTCTCATTCAACCATGAATTCTCGTATGAATTTGGATCGTTGGGCTTGGGCGGTAGCATTGACAACAATATCATTTACTCGCAAAACTCATTCACACCACGTTCCATTCGCTCTAATTTGACTGGTGAATTATTTGGCACCAGCTTCAACATCTTCGAATTGAGCGGTCGTCAAGAGAACTTTGACTTGGTTTTGGAACGCTACTTCGGAGCAAAAGGCTACTTCAACACAGTGAATAAACAAGAAGCATTGAGTAAGTTGAATACAAAAATTGTTTTTTTTTTCCATGCATCATTTTAAAGATGAGGTTTTTTAATTGCATGTGTTGTTGTTTTTTTTTTGTCATTTCTCCAAATTCCAGCTAAACTCCATGAACTAGTTACTGGTGGTGCATACCGTCCAAAACGTGGAATCGCCCAAGATGCTGACACCTTCGGAAAGGACTTTGTCGGTGCGTTGAGCCGCGATGTTGACTTTGATTTGTCGGTGAAAATGTTCGGCTCGGAATTGTACTTCTTGAGTTTGGGTGACAATTTCCCATCGGAAAATAAGGATTTTAGCAAAGAATTCGGTCGTTTCTTGCAAAACTTTTTGAAAGCAACCAAAGATGGCAAAAAGCATCAATACGATGTTCACTCATTGTTCCTCGATGCTGAATTCTCGTATCCAACCAGTTCCGGTTTCCCATTGAAGATTCAATCACAAGGTGCTGGTGCTTTCCGTTTGGAAGCCACACTCAAGGCTGACTTCAAGAATATTCAAGCCAAGCCGAAGGAAACCAAATTCGCAGTCAGCCTTGTGCCAAGCTACAACGTTGAATTGACCGGAATCATCAGTGTTGACGGATACGAAGTTACCGCTGGCGTGAAGGTGACAAGCAACGTACACAGTTCCACTGGAACACAATTGTCATTCGAATTGTTGAATCAAGGCAAAGGTGTTGACATTAAGATTGATTTCCCATTGAAGAAACAAGAAATCTTGAGCTTTGACCACAAAATCGTCTTCATCCAACAGAACTTGGGACACGAAAGCATTACACACAACTTGAAATCGGCACAAAAGTGAGTAGAAATTATTTTGGTTTTTTTCTCTAACTTAATTGTAGGGAAAATTGAAAATTTGTCTAAACTTTCCAACTTCATCGTTGATTCGATCTAATGGCGAAAAATTCACGATTCGTTTCACAGGAAAGACGTTAACGTTCGCAACGATTGCTTCGATCAATTCAACAAATACTTGGGTGTTACAGTTTGCTACGAATTGAGCACCAAGAAAGGCGAAAAATTGGCTAACAGCCGCTTGTTCCCATTGAATGGTCCAGCTCGCATTTCAGCCTACGTCGAAATCGAGAAGCAATACCATTTCAGTGCCTTGTACGATGACACAAACTCACAAAAACGTGCATTGGATTTGGTATTCGATACACCAGAATCAACGGAAACTCGCAAAGTTTCGATCAAATTCGAGGGTGCCCTCTCACCAAAGGCTTACTTCAGCGCTGAAATTGTATCGCCATACAAATCGGCAAAGGCTGAAGTTGGTGTCACCAATGACGACAAAGAATTGATTCTCTACGGACAAGCCAGCAGCGATGCTCGGCAATATTTGTTGAAATTCGGTTTCAAGAAAAGTGGATCGGGTGCACGCCATGAATACACTCCAATCATTGAGTACAACAATCCTGAAGCCATTCCATACAAGGTGAGCGGCAAATTGATTGCCGATTCATCAGCAGCGCCAAAGACCCGGTACACATTCGAAAAATTGACCGTTGAACCAGCACAAAGCGGCGGCAAATTCGGTCCATTGGTACTCGATGGATGGTTTGAACACGAAAAACTTGAACGCTTCGAAACTGATCTCAATGCTAAGTACAAGGATAGCTCGGCCAATGTCAAGGGTAAAGTGATTGCAAAACAACAAGAATTCGAAGCAGATTTGTCACTTTTGAGCGACGTTGCTGAATTTGCCAACGGCAGAGTTAAGATCCACTACAAACTTACCAACAAACACTGCAAAAACTCATTCGTTTTGATCTATGGCAAAGACTTGGAATCGACAACCAAACGCATCGAATTCACCACGGACAATGAATTCGAGAAGCAAGATAACAAATACACCAGCGTTAAGGTGAAGAACACACTCATCATCGCACCAATCCCAATAAAATTGGTGATTAACGGTGGCATCCACAAGAATCATGTTGACTATGATGTTATCTTTGGCTATGCTAAAAATGAAATCGAATCGAAATTGAACGCTGACATCAACAAGAAGAGCAAAGGTGATTGGAACATTCAATTCGAGGCGGCTGCAAACAAACACAAGGTGGAATTTGCATCGAATCGTAATATTGACGACACCAAGCAGCGATCAGTGGTGAAACATGAATTGAAATCAAGCTTCGGCACAGATATCGTTCTCAATTCGGAGTTCGACAACAATTTCAGTGCCGAAAAGATCGATTACGCTGCTGACGGTAGCATTGTTTTGGCTCGCGGTCAAAAACCATTGAAATTAGTATTTAAACTGTTGGTCACACCAAAACAAGGCCAAAGCAGCGGAAAAGTGATTGCCGACACCACAGAATTCGTTACATTCAACGCCGTTTTGAATCGCAATGGTGGCGATTTGAACGCTCCAACCACCGGAACACTTGACTTCACCGTCCATGAATTTGTAATCGCACACGGTCAATACAATTCACAGAAAGGCGTTGGCAAATCGGACTTCATTGTGACATTCTCGAAATTCGATCGCAAAGTTAAAGTTGAAACCAATTACGAAGTATCGAGCAATAAATTCAATTTGCGCAACGACTTCTACTACGACTTTGAAAAGGATAATACGCGCCACGTTGCATTCGACACAAAGAACAAGTACACAAGCACCTCATTTGACAGTGTCAACGAAGTTGATATCAATGGCGAGAAATTCCATTTCGAAATCGATGGAACCAAAAATGGCGAATGGAAAAGTGGCAAACAAAGCGGTAAATTCTTGTTGCGTTTGCCAACTCAACGCGAAATTGCCGGCACATTGAATCGTCAATTTGATTACACCGCACCAAAAGCATCGGGACACGGAAACATTAAGCTTACCGATACCATTACACAAGGTGGCCGTAAAACACGTTCACTCGATTTTGATATCACTTTGAAGGATGGCAGCCGTGAACAACGATTCTTTGATATCTTGCACAAGCTCACGCTCGCCGATTTCGATGGCAAATCAATTGTTGTTGACAATCACATCAACCACTTGCCAAAAGGAAATTTCAAATCGGCTTTGGCCACTCTAAAAGTTAGCGGTTCAGTTCCACACCCAATCGAACTAAACGTTGCCATTGATGAATACTGTGCCATTCACGCTGTTTACAATGGAAACTTCAAATACGGTAATGCTGGTACGGTTCAATTGAATGGTGATTACTATGTCGGTGAGGCGGGTAAAAAACCACACACATACAAATTGAGCGGTCAATTATCGGTGCCACAAAGCAAACTCAAGCAATTTTCATTTGATACTCGTGGTAGCCTTAAACAACCAGACCTTTCGGCTGATCCAAACGGCCAATACGACTATGAATTCAAATTCAACAGCAAATTGAACGAAAAGAATGTGGATGTCAATACAAATGGCAAATTCGGTAAGACAAATGGTGATTTGTCGCTCAATGTCAAACTCCCAGAAACGGATTCATTCGCTGTTGACTTGGACTACAATTATGATCACAAAGCCGAGCAAAAATCGTACAACGGCAAAGGTAGTATACAAGTTCGCTATGGAAATGGCAAAAACATCAAATTCTCCGGCGATGCTAAAGTGGTTGAAGGCCAAGAAGTTTCATACCATGGTTCAATCAGCACACCATACGAAAAGGCAAAGAGTTTGGACTTCACATTTAAAGGACTCAAAAAAGACGAGGACACCTTCTCAACCGAAGCCGAATTGAACATTGACGACAAAAATTACAAACTTTCAAATGTCGTTGTTACTTCACAATTGAGCCCATCGTTCACTCTTGATGTTTACTATCCACAAGGCAAACACTCAAAAGTCGCTGTTGATATTAGCCGCGTCGCTGATCGCAAATACAAATTGGGCGTACGTTTGGTTAATATCAACAACTTCCAATTGACTGGCGATGTTGAACTGTCCTACCAAAGTATTGAGAACTTTGGATTGGTCGTTGACTTGGACTCGGCTGCTTTAAAAGCCAACAAATTGCACTTGGACATTCATTCGAAACAAAGTGGTAACAACAAGGGCATCGAATTCATCGCCACCGAACAAAACAAGAACATTATTAGCGGCACTGCTGATTATTTGGTGAAACAAGAGAAAGGAAAGACCATCATTGAAGGCAAAGGCAATGTTAACTGGTACGACAAATCAAGCGCTCTCACTTTTACATTCGTGCGCAACACATTCACTCAAGCTGAAAATAACGAAACTGGCGTCAGTGTAAGTAGATGAATAATAATGGATAATAATTGTCCGTGAATTGTGTCATCCTGATTCCATTTTCTAATCACTTAATTTTTTTTTCATATTTGCATTAACAGTTGGTATTCAATAGTCAAATCGGACCAAAGAAAGTGCAAGCTGAATTGAAATTGACCAACCGCGAATTCTACTTGCAACACACCATTTGTGAAGCAACATCAGACAAACCATGCATCCACTTGAAGGTGTCATCAATCTTGAGTGATTTGGAATGGAAACGATTTACCCACAATTTGTTGGTAAATGTTGACTTGCGTCCACTTGGATTTGCCCATGAATTCAATGTTAAAGCCGATACTAAACGCGATGGATACTTCATTGAACACACATTCGACACTCAAATCCAATCGGCCGATCAAAATAAATACCAATTCAATGCTTTCATTAAACCATCAACCGCTGGTGTTGTGCTCAGCATTCCAAAACGTACGGCTGCCGTTGAGGCAACATTCACTTATCCAAAAGAATTTATTGGTAGCTATCAGGCAACAATCACCAGCTACTTGGATAAGAAGAACAACCCAGGCAAACACAGTACAATCAGTTTCAAGGGAGAGATTAAGCGTCCAAGCAAATTGACATTCATTGCAACTGGTTCATTGGTTGCCAGCCATCCATCGGTGAAGGAATTGAAGATTAGCGGCGAAACGGAATTCAGTGGCGAAAAGAAATTGCTTAACGGCAACGTGAAATTCGACGTATTCAAGAATACCAATCAAGCCATCGTTATTGCTGCCAAATATGTCAACACTGATGCTTCATCGAAAGGATTCAATCTCACATCGGAAGTGTCATTGAAGAGCCCTGGCCTTGGATTGAACTATGCATTCATCGACAATGCTGGTGTTAGCTTCGCTCGCCGGGCACTCACATACACCTACGAATTGCGTGGCCCAACACAAAAAGAACGTTTCGGACTCTATTTGAACGCTGATTTGAAGAAAGTTGACTTGAGCATCGTTTTGTTCAATGAAGAATTGTTGAGAGGTACCAGTACAGTGGACACAGCCAAGAAAACGGCATCCGTTCAATCAACAGTGAAACTCTTGGGCTCAGAACCAATTTTGTCAAAAGCAACCGCTTCATTGAGCGGATTCAACGCTAACATTAAACATGGAAACTTCTTGTCGATTGAAGCCGAAGCAGCCGCTGGCAAAGCATTGAGTTTCAAGGCCACTGGAAATCAAAAAGTTCTGTTGAATTTTAACGTCGCTTTAGATCAAGCCAATCTTTTGTCAACCGATTACAACATCAACGACAAAGAATTCAAAGAATTCTTGGTGAGTTGAATGCGATTTTTTTTCCGTTGCACATTTTCGATAGCTTATTCATTACTTCATTTACATTGTGTTTTCCATTTGAAAATAGTAGAAGAAATCATTTATTCTATAATTAAATTTTTTTACAGAAAAACGCTCGAACGAAGCTTGCCGATGATGGAAGACGTGCCCGAAGTGAATTCGAATCACGCATCAACCAAGCCAAACAATCGTTGACCGGACAAGTGAACTCTGTCAAGGAGAATTTACCAGACTTTTCGAAATTGAATGCTGACTACAAAGAAGAATACGAAAAATTCAGCGAAGATTTATTAGCCGACAAATCGATCAAGGAATTGGTCGAACTTTAGTAAGTGGCGATTTTTATCATCAAAAATTTGGATTCAGTGATTTTTTTTACACACGAAAAAAGAGAATTAGCTTAAAAATTTCACGATAACTAAACTTGTACTTCTCAATGATATTACAGTAAAAAGACTTACGAAACCTTGAACAAAACGGTTGGTGAACTTCTTCGCACATTGATCGAACAATTCAACCAGATTTCAAAGACCATCAACGATTTCTTGAAGCAATTGTACGACGGTTTCAATGAACGTATCCTTCCATCACTTAAAGAATCATACAACCACATTGAACAGACATTGTCAAGCTTGTTTGATGAACTTCTTAGCTCAATCACACATTTGTTCGAAAAATTGGTGGAAGCACTCAAGAAATTCGAAGATGATTTCAAGAAGATCGGCAAATCAGTTAGTGAATGGTCCAAGAAAGTCGGCAAAGTGCTTAACGAACAATGGGCAATCGTACAACGTGAACTCGAAGACATTTACAAATTGATTGTTGATCATCTGAAATCATTGCCAGGATTGGAAGTGATTAAGGAAAAATACAATGAAGTGAGTCGTGTTAGGATGCAATTTTTTTCTCCTTTTAAAAAAAAATTGATTTTTCACTTAAAATTTTTATTTTTCAATCGTGATTCTAATTTGTGCTTCGTTTTTTTCTTTCTTCTCAACTAGTTGGTTCAAAGAATCCCGGTTAGCGATGCTGAAGAGTTCAAGAAAATGGCCGAAAAGGCTTTGGCTACATTGAAACAATGGTTCTTGATGGCTCAAGAACAATTGCACTCGTTGGGTGTTGATTCGGCTGAAGATTACTACGGTTTGCCATTCGTTTGGTTCCAAAAGGTAAGATCTACATACCTCCCAAATGTGTTCGTCTTTTGTTTGTTCAAAACTCGATTAAAATTGATGAACAAAATGATAACCAAATTGTCTTTCATTAAACAATTTCAGAATGCTCAATTCTTGCCACAATTTGCCACCTTAAAATTCAGCATTTTCAACTATGCATTGAACGAGCCACTTCCATCAGTCAGCGATTTGTTGCACACCTACCGTCCGTATGCATTCAATCCATTGTACCTGTTGCCACCATTCCCGATCGAAGGTCGTGTCATCGAAGGCGAATACTTGTTCACATTCAACGGCGATCAAATCACATTGCCTGGATCGTGTCACTATGTTTTGGCTAAGGATATTGTTGATGGTAACTTCACTGTTGTGGCTAAGATCGCTGACAAGAAATTGCAATCGATCACAATTACGGACAAGAGCGGCGATTCAATCGATCTCAATGCCAATGGCAAGGTTTCGGTCAACGATAAACCAAACGAATTCCCAGTTTATGAGCAATCATTGTACGCCTGGAGAACATACTACAAGGCTTACTTGTACACGAGCTACGGTGTGATGGTTCAATGTAAATTGGACTTGAAGGTGTGCCATGTGACGATCGATGGTTATTACTTCAACAAATTGCGCGGTGTGTTCGGCAAAGGAAACTACGAACAATTTGACGCTCAAACTTTGCCAAGCGGAAAGGTCTCAGACAGTGCAACACAATTCATAAATGCATACAAATTGCATTCATGCCCAGATGTAACCATTGATGAGCATCACAAACATGCCGACGATGCCAAGAGTCCAGAATGTGAAAATGTTTTCGGTGCCGGTTCATCATTGCGTTTCGCCAAATACTTGCTCGATTCATCGAAATACTTTGAAGCTTGTCAACATGCTGTGAAGAATGCCGCCGCCGCCAACAAACAAGAAGTCGCTTGTAGCATTGCCTACGGTTATGCCACATACGCTCGCTTGCAAAATGTACCCGTTAAAATGCCAGACATTTGCCAAAAATGTAAAGTCGTCGATGATACTGGCAAAGTAGAATCGTATGAAGTCGGAGAAAAATACACACCAGCCACGGGCAAAAAAGCCGATATTGTTTTCGTTGTGGACAACGCAATTGAATCGAAATCACTCACCGAATTGGTTAACCGCTTTATCTCAGAATTGCGACACTCATTGGATAAGGGTGGAAAATACGATACACAAATCAGTGTGATCGGTTACAAGAAGGGTGAAAAATACTTCAGCCACTATACATCAGATGGTAAATTGGACATTACGAAATTCCATTTGTCAAAGAAGCCCGAATACAGCATCCAGGAAGAAAAGATCGTTTCGGTTGGCTGCAAATACTTGGATCAAGTTTTGCAAACATTGTACAATACCAGCATCAAGATTCAGGATGAACTCAGTCTTTTGGCTGACGGTCGTGCTTTCCGTGAAGCTCTCCACTATCCATTCCGTTCAAATGCTCACCGTTCAATCATTGCCATTCGTTCAGACGTTTTGCAGCATTCACCAAACCCAGTAAGTTTTGACTTTTGTGATTCTTTGACTTTTTTTCAATATTCACATCTAACCGCCTCTATTTTTCGTCTGTTTTACAGATTAAGTTGCTCGGAGCGAAGGCTGTCAATGAAATTGCTAAACGTATGGGCATCAACATTCACTTGCTTGCCCCAACACCAGAATTGAAATTCGATAACAACAAGGAAATCAGCAAAGTGGTCGGTTTCAATGACAAGAGCGTTTTGTACATGCCAGGCGAAAAAGAACGCAGCCAAGATCGTCAACATCTGCAATATGGCATTGATTTGGGCATTGATATGGTTAGCGAAAACCACGGATATGCATTCAGTTTGAACAATTACAATGCACTCGACGATCAGAATCAACGTAAATTCTTGAAAGTTGCCGCCACAAACATCGCCCAACAAATCACAAAGACCGAAAGTGTTCAAGAATGTGTGTGCACTCTTTATAACGGCCTCGATCCACGCGAATACTGCCGTGAAACCGAAAGAAACGCCAAAACACGCAAATAAATCTAGACGATAGTGATTTGTAATTTTGTGCCGATAAAAACAAACATCTCAAAAATATTTTTTAGTCGGATAAATTCATACAATTATTTTTTTTTACCGAGGATTCAAGTTTAATCTCTGTCTCCATCCTTTTCTCATCAATTTGCCTTGATAAGTAAGTTCGCTCATAATTCAGAGGTTAGTGTCTTGTTTATGAAAATTATCATCGAAGAAAATTGTAACTAAACAGAGGCAATAAAATGAATTAAAAATTATTTTAAAATCTGGCGGTTTTTCTATTTGAATTCGGTGAGAATATCACTCAACAAAATCCGTCGCACAGAAAGCAGTGGTGCAGCCGTGCTGTTTGCACATCGGACTTTTTGGCATACACATCGTCGTTCATCGCGTTTCATATAAACGAAATCAGCACACAGACACACGCGTGTATGCGTCGAACGCTCAAAGCCGAGTTCCGTACGAAGCATGGCTACAGTGATGGAATGAATTACTAGAGAGCGTTCGGCACATAGGAAACACGATGAACGGACGATGTGTATGCGAAAAAGTCCGATGTGCAAACAGCACGGCTGCACCACTGCTTTCTGTGCGACGGATTTTGTTGAGCAGAGTGAGGATATAATCTATCTGACACTCAATTATGCAACCATAAAGTCGTTTGTTGTTTTGACGACCATAGAAATGCTTTCATTCCTGAATACCCATTATTACCATCCGAAAAAACATTGTGTACAGAGTTTTAAGGTCTTATTGTTCGTTTGAATATAAACAATTCTAGTTCAGGCAAACAATTTATTTTATATATTAAACAACACGTCTAATGAAGAAAGGATGCTTGATCACACTTGAATCTTGAAAAATTGAACGAATTCGGCAACTTCACTGCATAATGCTGATATTTGTTGATAAGAAATTTTAAAAAGATAAAAGAGAGACGAAATAAATCGAGTCGATTGAATCGACTCCTTCATTTTTCCGATAGCAGTCGCGTCCAAATCGATGCATTTCGTCAAAGACTAGGTATAAAAAAATGCGTGCTCAATCTCAAACATAATTTTTTTTCTATTATTTAACGTAACTTTGAGTTAGTAAACAAAAAGGATGCATTCCGAATGTTTGTTTTTACATCTCTAGTTGTTCATTTCAAAAAGGAGTAACCATACCTTTAGTGCAAAAGCATTTATTGCCCTCCTTAAAGCGAACGCCATCTATTCAGTGAGAACATGAAAACAAACAAAGTGACTCCAGCTGCCAACCGATATAGGGATCGGTGGAAATAAAGGCAGTGTATAAAAAATGTGCCAAACAAAACGAACTACAGCGTTTCCCCTACATAGAGATGTTGTTGTATTATAACTCTGTATGGATCAATTTGTTCTCATGTTCAAACCGAACAGATGGCGCTCGCGTTAGGTAGGACAATAAATGCTTTTGCACTGACCATATGAGGCTGTGAGAATGAAAATGGCAATACAGGAATAAACATTTTGAAACGCATCAAGAAAAAAAATTCGCAAAAATGAATCATGAGCTCTGAATATGCAAAAGTGAAACATGAATTTACATGGGCAGCATAGGAGGTTCATGGTTCACTTTTGCGTATTCAGAACTCATGATTCACTTTTGCGAATTTTTTCTTCTGGATGCGCTTCAGAATGTTCATTCATGTATTGCCATTTTCATTCTCACAGCCTCATATAGGAGTAACAAAAGACAGTTACAACCTTTGCAACAATACTGTTCATATCTTTTGGGTATTCTTACAGAACGGAAGAACAACGCTCGAAACCTATTTTCCAGGGTGTTCACCAAAGGAAACCCATATTGATACAACACAACTTCGTATTTCAAATGTGACGAGCATAACCGTTGAAGACCAACCCAGTTCTGTGTTTCGAAGGGATACTGAAGTGTTAAAGGATATTAAAGCTGTCATCTTATGGCCATGGTCATAAATTGCAATCGATGTAGAACATTATTGTATAGTATGTGTTAAAAGAATATTCAAAAAATTGAAACTGTTGTAATATCTCTTGACATGGAAACTTAATCTAAATGAGCCAGCTCTTCTCCAGAGATTGCATATTTGCTGCTGAGTAGGCCTAAGCTGAACTGAATTTGCTATCTCAGGCGCCTGAAGCGGTATTTTAACGCACTTATGGTGCAAAATTGTCATTGATAGCTAGCATCCACCTTAATATAATTGATAAACAACGTGAATGCTAGCTAACAATGACAATTTTGCACCGTAAGTGCGTTAAAATACCGCTTCAGGCGCCTGAGATAGCAAATTCAGTTCATCTTAGGCCTACTCAGCATCAAATATACAGTCTCTGCTCTTCTCAGAAGAGCAGTTAGCGACATCATTGCTTAAAGTAAAACACAAAATGTTAACATTTTTCTAATTCAACATAAAACATGTTTCGTTTATTTCAAAGTCGACATAGTTGAATATAGTACAAGTGGAATGGACGCCTCGTCTCAATGGTACTACCACTCCACA